GATATTTTTTTTGTATTACCACAAGGGATTTTAATACTAATCTGTCTCAGAAATGTTATTTAATTCATGTACTACTGATGAGTAAATAATATTGCAAGTGTACGTACAACTAGCTTTTATGTAAAAGCAAACGTTCACTAGTACTGATTTTTAGTTTTTCTCGTAATTTTAATATCCCAGCAGTTCATTAAAGTAGTTGATCCCAATTTATACCAGCAATGTTCCTTCTCAGACGAATTTCAGGAAGTATACAATTTACAACAAAATTATGTGGACAGCTTCAAGCTATTAGGCGTATTCTAGGGATGCTAACCATCATCATCTGATAAGGACAGGTTTCTGTTTGATCCAGGTTCTGTTTTAGACAGATTTAACTGAAACTGCAAATAATTATTATATAGCTTTTGATAAATATTTCATGTTTACTCATATCTACCAGGATACACACAAGTTTCTCTTCCCTTACCAAAGTCCTGGAAATTACAGTTGGATTCTATACTGATATACCGTTTTTGTAGATCTTAGAATATTCTGTTTAACAGCTGTCTGATTTTCACTGTGGCCTCCTTGCTAGGTGTATCGTCAATTAGTTGGTTGGAATCCATTATTATGTACTATTTTTCGCAGACAATTTCTAAGGTATTTGTGCAGGGTTTTATATTACATGCAATTAGGTTGGAATGCTTTTCTTAATTACGAAGTTTCATGACTTCAAATATGTAAGAGAAGAGACGGTTTACCTACTCATTTTAATCGTACTAATTCAATATGTCCACGACGGAATACTTGTTTAAAACTTTAGATTTTCTCTTTTACCGATAATGGCTATGATTCCCAATTAAAGAATTCACGTAGCTGTGTGACGTGGAGGGAGGGCAGTTTTGAATTTTTGTACTTTAATAAATTTTATATGATTTTGCGTGCAACTAACAATATTATACAAAAAAATTAATTTGTTTCTTTGGCCATATCAAACATAGTATTTTATAATTTATGTATAACGAAAGCATGTTAATTACGGAAACTATTGCTTCCACCTATGGATTATTCGTAATGGTGGAAACTGGAGACAATTAGGCCTATATTGAATATTACATGTAAACATTCCTTTAAGTAAAATATTCTTAATTCATATGTGTGATACACCTGTATTTAATTACAAAACTAAGTTGTATGTGCATATGATATCTTGGGTAGTACCTTATTAAATATAACAGAACATTGTATTTACATTCTGTTACAATGAAAATCTAATCGAGCCATTTTAACTTCGATACATAACCTTAAAATTTAATCAAGGACATCACTGTATATTGTTAGAGGTGAGGAGGCATTTCATCATCATTGAAAACCTGTCGCTAGTTTTGTTGTTTTATTCTACTCACTTCTATATTTGTTGTCTTTTACAGTATCCTATTTTCTTTTTATGTGTCTTATGCTCCACTCTTTCTTTACGTATCTCTAATTTTTTATTATTTTCACAAGCTTATTAACCGTTTAAAGCCTGGTGGTAACTATATGTACCACCTGCTTTAAAAATCAGTGTCTGTGCGTATTGTACTTATAGGTCGTGTGTGATTCTCACTGTAAACAGCGATTATTTTCTGAAACAACTTTGGCCAGTTGATTTTTATAATGGAGAAATTGTTTTCTCTTTGAGGTGCGGACTGACACTGAAATAATATTTCGACGAGCTTCGGCGTTAAAAATGTCAAAAGTTATTTTTATTCTTATTTATGTTGCAATTACTAATTGTGCACCACAGTTCATTTTGTAATTTGTTTAAGTCTACTGTTTTGTTCAGCAGAAATTTACGTACGAACTTCGGAGTTCTTTAATATATTAATTATTTAATTAATGCGAATTAGTCAGCAGAAGATAATGGATTAGTTTGTTTCTTTTGCTTTCCATATGATGTAAGGATTTATACTTGCTTTGTTTTGTCAGTTCATTATGCTCATTGATCTAGCAGCAAGATCAGCTACTGCCTTTATTTAAATTATACCTGTATGCTGATGTTCTGAGTCATTCTGTATTCCCATCGTGAAAATATTATTCTGAAACACTAGCGAAACACCTTCTCAGCATCCTCTCCCTGTAGCAGAGACAACAGATTCATTCGTGAAAATTTTTGAACACTCCATCAGTAAGATTAAGAAATTAAAATTAGGACGAAATGACTGGGGAATTTTGACATTGTAATCCCGTTCTCAAATGCACCAATGTATGAGACATTTGTATGTGGTCTGAAATGCCCTGAAGACATGATAAATTATTTGAACGATCATACTTAAATGTTGTATGCGCCTTAAAGATGGCATAATTCCTATTGCGACCAGCAATAAGTAAGCATGGAAAACTTCGAACAGGTTACATTAGATCAGAGTGACTTGAGGCCTAAAATGTAGCCAGACAAAGAGCTCTACCAAACTGGAATCCAAGGGATGTGAGAATCGGGACAAAATTTGGAATACTCAGCAGAATTTTGATCACGAACTGCACTGCGGATCGTACTCACAATTACTAAACACGAAAATGAAACCTAGGAAACAAATGAGTATGTATACAGCGTCGAATGCGAATGTGGGAGAAATTTAAAGGAAAAGCAGAAATCACCGAACATAAATGCAATACAATAATTGAGAAATGTCAAAGTCCAACAGCAGAAGATTCGTGGGACGAGGACCGTGGAATACAATGGAATAAGGCGGAAAACATACACAAAGAAGAAAATAGAATAATAAGGAAGTTGAAAGCGTCTGTATTCATCAGTGGAACTGAACAGGTCATCAGTCAACCAAGCCCAGACGTTCCCTTTATTTTGGAGTAGGAGAACAAAAATTTCTGTCACCCCGGTGGGGTAGTGGTTAACATACTAGGCCAGCATTCTAAAGGTACCGGGTTCGACCGATGTTGCCAACAATACAGTAGACAGAATCAAAATATACCTCTGCAAATGGACGATGTCTAACGTAGTGTTTATAGAATTAATTTTTTTTAACTCATTCGTTGCAACTTTACCTTATATAAAGTTAAATTAATCAACCCAGTTCATGCAAAATGAGGAACCAAATAATGGAGTTACTTGTGAAATGGTTTCTCATATTCTGATAAGTGTCTTGTGCTAACCTAACCTAACCTGTCGTGTGCTTTCTCAGCTTAGAAGTTTCTGTTTCATTTTATAGGCCAGTGTTAAATATTCGGTATGAATCCTTGGATTGGCGATGAGCTTGTAGGAACTGCTGGTGTATTACATAATTGTATAGCTCTTCCTTATACTTGGAACCCTGACTGTGCCATGATTTAGCACTGAAGAACTTAACAGTGCTACAGTTCTACAGTTGTCACGACAGTTTTTAATTTAAATAACATAACTGGTTTTACGGCAGACAGGAAGTACAAATTATGATCGTGTTTTCACACAGTTCAAAACAAATGTTTCAAGTATATATCTGTGAATTATGCAGCAAAAGAAATTATTATTTAAGCCTACGAGAAATTAAAATGTTAGAATGTTCACTCCACAGAACTGAACACATTATGCCATGATGATAGAAGTAATACTTACGTATTTAAGACAGTCGCTTGTTTGAAATTATTTTAAATTACATGTATCAAGATCTGTTAACAGACTATAGTTGTTATCAATGCCGTCCAGAATTCGTCATGTGGACAGGTAACATATAAGGTAACGAATTTCTACTATTTTCATATTGTCAGTTTAATACCTCATTTTTGGAAGGAGGTAGTCGTGGCGTGGAAAGTCTGAGGAAAACCACTAAAAGGTTTGAAGCTAAACCGTAGCCAGGCAAAAATCAAAACCGGGTAACCTCTCAGACAGAAAAGTGCTAATAAGGCTTACGAATTTTTAACTTGTATTGGCGGTGGATGTCATTTGTTATTCCAAGATATGTAATGGGAACAATCACGAAGAATGGTTAAATTCATTATATATAAATTAAACGAGGATAAACGGCGATGTAGATACCTTACACAACATTGTATTCTGCGGATGTTATTAAAATTCAAAATAACACACAACAAATTCAAAGTACTCCACTCCGTACTACAATTGCGCATCAACGGCTTTATTTTTGGGGATATATATATTGTGTTGAACCGGAGAGATTCCCGTTACCATGGCAACCATCTCACTCGTTCTGCGTCGAACAAGGAAGGAAACACAGCAGCCATTTTGGAATCGCTGTTGCCTGAGAGTGGGCTGGCAGCTTCGCTGTGCTACAGAAAGGCTGCTCTCAGGATCATAAACCAGTGGACCCGATTTTCCTGTTCCACAAACAAAAAAGAGAGAGAGGGAGAAAGTCATGTTCTTTTTGATGGAAAAAATATTTAAGTTTATGTGCCCCCCCACCTTTGCTGAACGGTTTTTACTTCCCTATCCTAATTAGATATGACACATTTCAAAGAATTATTTATTATCGAATGTGTGCTATGTTATCTGTGATGCTCTTCTTACTTCTGATAATACAGATGTAGCATCAGCTACCATCGGACGTAAATACATTCAAGCGCAATATATTCAAATTATGCATGCTGATGTTCTCACGGAAAAGATACGTATGCGTGTTTGGCAGTACGTAGACTTTAACCTTGAGAAAATAGCAAATTCTATTAAAATATAGAGCAGGGGTCTGAAAGGAGGACACTGCAATCTCGTTGCAAAACAATAATATTCCAAAAAGTGCCGCGGTGTTTTGTTTGCATAGATTTTTTTACGTTGCCCCCCCAGTGGGTGGAATGAGATGCCCCCTGTTCAACCTTTACAACTGCACCTCCCCATGCCCTCCACGCTTCTCCTAAAGTCCCTCCCCCTCCAACGAGCCATCATTCCCTCTTCACGTTTCTCTCTCTCTCCTCTGCACGTCATCCCATTCCCCTCTTACCTCCCCTTCAACATGTTTTCTCAACTCACCCGGTCCCATTGATAGAGCTTCGAAACACCCCTCTTCCCTTTTCGGAACATGGACTCGTCCAAAACCTGTTTGCAAGCCTACGAGCCTGCTGCCTACCCTGGCCCTCTACTGCTGGTGCTGGTTTTCTGTATGTGTGTGAGTGTGATGGTTTTCTAGGGCTAGTTCAATGACTTTAAAACATTTAAGGGAGAGGTATGGTAAAAGACAATCGTAAGACATTGTACCTCACGAGGTTAAAATAAAATTGGTAAGAAATTACGTGTCCACGAGTGTACATAACTTTTTTTCGGAGGGAGTCAATATTTGGAACGCGCAGTGAACTGCTATGGTGTGATGACTGAATACCAAGGTCTGACGGACGGCTGTTGGTTGTAAGTACCTCACTCCACCTCCATTTACATGTGTGGTCAGCATTCGTGTGGCACACGTTATTCAGGACCACACTGTTAACATGGCCGACCGACAGTGTCAAGTGTATTGTTTGTGATTCTACTATACATCGACGTATTATTATTTTTTTGTTTCCTGCATAATTATTACATTGTGATAACATTCTGGTCATATTTTAGAACAGTGAACAGAGTATTTGATTACACTAAATATTGAGCGCCGTTGGACTTCTAACCAAATTTTGGATAGCCATAGGCCTATATAAAATGCAAAACAAGAATTATATGTAACAAGAAGACAAATATTTGATATTCACGTGCAACAGAAATGGCGGCAAGATACAGTGAGTTGCTATTTTACTAGTGATCTTTTCCTATGTCATATTTTCAGCGGGCAAAAGTGTGCAATTTCCGACAGAGACTCGTCAGTAGAAGTAACAAGCTCCACATGTTTATTCCATACAAGTTACAGTATTATTGTTATCGGAGTGGTCACAGCTGCCGTTGCAAGCAATACGATTCAAGTGCGTTGTTCCAACAGGTAAGCACAAATGGTAGCGATGGTCGTCGACGATGCAAGAAGGCTACTACTGCAGAACAAACCACTAAGTCAGGCAGCTTCTACCACAACTCTTCTCAAGACGAACAACGCAACGAGGAACAGCTAGCATTTTGTGCCTAGTATGGCCGCTAGCAAAATACCGAACAACAATGTAGTTGCTGCAACGCGATCAGAGTTCTCGTCACCATCGCTTCCTTGTTTGCATCGCCCCGTATTGTGAAAACTAGGGAAGAAAATAAAAAGAACTACGATATGAGGGGGTAGCAGGTGTATGGCATTTTTCAGCCGTTATTAACAAGCTGGTACTGTATTTTGAAACGTGAGCGTCACAAGAAGTTTGATGCAAATATATCGACTACGGTGAGTTGTTTTTACGTAAGACTTTTTAATTTTTTTTATTATCGTTTTCCCGCGCTCGAAGAAGATATATGTGTGTATTTTTTCATCATCAAGATTTTTGTAATTCGTAATTCAGAATCCAGTGCGTTGGATGCAGCTTCGGTCCATCTGTTTATGTAAAATTAAAGGCGTGCGAGAGATGAAGAGTCAACTAAAATCTGCTACGTTGCACTTTACAGAAGCTGAATCATGATGGTGAAGTGAAAACTTAATCACCTTCCCCATTTCCTGAAACCCACCCATCCCCCCAAAATTGAGAAGAAACAAGAAGTTTGATACGTGTGTAATGAATTCTGTGCAAGAGTAGAAAAAATAATAAGTTTCGTGTATTTTACTTGTGCTTAGACAGTGGCGGCGAAGTCGAAGAAGATCCAAGAAGCCCCCGGGCCTCCCCCGCATTCATTATTATGGAAACTGTTCAACAATCAGTTGTACATCTTGAACATGGTGGAATGCCACCTCAGGCTCCGATGGCATACGCACAAAGGTCCCCAGCTCTTCACAGGTGAGAAACTTCACCATAGAAATATATTTTAAGTGCATATAGAATTTAATTATGCAAAGTACCGTTAAAATAGGCTATTGTGTAGGCGTAACGTGTGAGCTAATGTTTTGTACGGGATTGGCATAAGTAAAACATTGTTAACGTTATTTTAGTTTATAAACGTGGACTAGTTTTACGAAATTTGTAATACGCTAAGTGGTATTACATATTTGGATCGGTTTTATGTGCGTACCGAGTTGGGGTCGTTACAGAGGTTTGCAAATACCATTTGTATCGCCATTTCTATTTTGAAATTCGGTTTCGATTTTCATAACTGATGTTTTCGTAACATTTTCGTGAGCAATAAAACATATGTCGAATCTTAATAGAAACTTGTATTAATATATTTTTGCGTAGCGATTGATCGATCACACGTGCTATTAAAAAATCAATTCCTATGGAATTTGGGTTTTAGTTCCTGTTGACGTGGAATCTTGTGGAGCCCGTGAGGTGTGGCAACACCGGTTGAGTGAGTGCACGAGTGGATTACATTGGTGCCAGTTTGCTCCGTCTCGTATGATATGGCATCATTGCAATTAAGGCATCCTCATATCAATCAGTTGCACTATTCTGCATTTGTCTTTTACTTTGTGTTAGATGTTGAAAAAAAATTTCGTGTGGTAATCTTTTCATTGTGTATCACAAATTTTGAATTAGGCATATTTCTTGAGGTGTTCACCCCGCATTGTTCAACAAAATAATTAAACATGTTCTTTTTACGCTTTCCCATAGATTGTATCTGTTTTTCTATTGTTATAATGGTGGAAGCTCGGAAATGGTATTCTCAAGGCTGCTGTACATTGTCTATTGTGGAGCCGTATATTAATCGCTATAAAGTCTCATGATGCGTTGTTTAACGTAGACCATTTTCGACGCTGTAGTGAAATGAAAGAAGATATAAGACAGTTAGGCAGCACCCTGTTTTCAATCACGCATTTACCCGAATTCACGTTCGTGATAAAGGACATGATTTAAGACCTTTCGTTTTGTGATCATGGGATGTGTGGTCTGTTAGGCGCAACGTTACCAATAAGTCTTTACTGTGGTAAGCCGTGACACCATTTTATTGTTTTTTCTAAAGGTCTGTTTGACACAGATTTTAGGTTTACAGCGATCTATATTTTACCCATAAACTTGATTTAGATTAAGTAGTTAATTTATGGATGCTAATATGTAATTATATTCGTTTGATGCCCTTATGCCTGAACGAAAGAAACTAGAGACAAATTGTGTTTGCGTAAATAACAGATTGTGATTTACTTGAGTGAAAAACGTTAACATTATTTTATGCAGTTCAAGTCATTGAAAACAAAACAATGATCGGCTAAGATCGTTGATGGTTGCGGTCCTAGGGTCATAAATCGCTCACCCCTATTTATTTCTTAAGACAAGATTCATGTAACTGAAGTTGGTCTGGGAAATTACGCCGTTGTACACATTAAAAACGTATTTGTAAATTTACATTATTTATATGGGGAACGAACAGGTTTTACCAGGAAGGAATTCATGTTAATTTTTATCACAATGGTCATGCTGTTTAATGCGACAGCAAATACACTTTTTGCAGTACAGATGTTTCATATCAGTCACTTCTGTTAATTCAGTTTGTCTTTATACTATAAAAATTTGTGATTAGTCGTTGTCTTCAACCAATTTGTCGTCAGAAAATGACGTCATCAACAATGCCAACAGATATTTGTTTACTCGGCATTGTTGTGGAACACAACAATGCCGTGTAAACAAATATCTGTTGGCATTGTTGAAGTTGACACAACAATGCCGAGTAAACAAATAACGCTTCACAACAAAAGAAATCAAAGAATATCAAGTCAGTCGCATTATCACTTATTTGAAGTACCTACTCCAACAAGGTAAAGTGATACTCATTCGATATATTACGATTATGAAAACTATTATAAAAACTGACTTTATGATCGATTTTGAGACGAAGATTTGCAAGGGTGGGGCTGGACGTAAAAAGTTGACTGAACAAGAACAGTTGGCCTCTGAACAGCGACGTAAAGAACTACAACATGAGACCTATTTAAGAAATAAAGGAAAGCGAAGTAAGACTTACATTGATAAAAGTAGAAAAAACGTATTCAACAAAAACAGAAGGGGAAAAAGGCAGACGAAAATTTGTAAGGGTGGGGTTGGACGTAGAAAATTGAATGACTAAGGAGCGATGTAAAGAACGAATCCATCAGACATATTTAACAAATAAAGAAAAGCGAAGGAAGACTTACATTGATAAACGTAGAAAAACGTATTAAACAAGAACAGAAGAGCAGAAGAAAACAAACGAAGACTTGAAAGGGTGGGATTGGACGTAGAAAGTTGTCTGACCAAAAATAGTTGGCCTTTGAACATCGATGTAAACAACTAAGACATCAGATCTATTTAACAAATAAGGATAAGCGAAAGAAGACTTACATTGTTAAACTAGACCATATTAACAACACACGTAAAACAGACGAAGATTTGCAAGGGTGGGATCGGAAGTAGATAGTTGACTAACCAAGAACAGTTGGCCTCTGAAAAGCGACGTAAAGAACTAAAACATCAAAACTATTCAACAAAAAACAGAAGAGAAAAAAAAAAGATTTGTAAGGGTGGGGTTAGACGTAGATAGTGGACTAACCAAGAACTGTTGGCCTCTGAAAAGCGACGAAAAGAACTAAAACATCAGAACAATTCAACTTCGGGGGGTTGGTCAAGTGTTTAAACCCCCCATTCGGGGGGGTTAGTTTAGTTTCTTACTCAGGGGTTAAAACACTTGAATGAGACACTAAACTAACTCCTCTTCGGGACTAACCAAGGTTGGTTGCGTTTAACAAACTAGGAGCTCCGAAAGGAGCGCCCTGCTCTAGTATCTAAAATTAGATACCAATTGACCTGTAGCTTCTCAAATCTGTTTAAATAAATGAATAACATTGAGGTTTCAGGGTGTCTATTATGGCGGCGTGGATGAAGATGGCTGTTTTTTGGGTTGCGACGTTTCAGAGGTTATTGCTACCTCCACTATTAACGTGATGTGTAAGATCGCTCCGTTGATGGAGGCAGCAAGCAGTGAAACGTCTGTTAACCATCTGTTACACGACACGGCGTAAGAACCCAGAAGACAGTCATCTTCAAATGAATAACCCATTTGAGAATAAGTAACTTTTATGCTTTATTTTGTGCCCAAAGTTAGGCGACAGTTTTTGTCCCAGTTCCTGAAATAGATTTACAAATTATAAATTAATAGCAAGTACATCATTCAAGAAATGCTTTCTTAAGCCACTTGAGTTGAATCATCTGTCAAAGTTTCAGGATCTCAGTGCACGAGACTTAAAACTACTTTGGCTGAAAGGCTCATTTCTAGTAGAAGATGTTTTTAAGTGTAAATAATTATTGTATTCTGAATTTTAAAATGGCCATTACAGTAGCTTCAGCGTCTTTCAGAATTTTAATTTCGTGAGATTTATCTCCCTTAGTTCTGCCTAAGTGTAGTGCCAATCCCAGTTGTTTCAACCATGACAGCCACCATAATTGTTTGTATGAAGAAGCTACAGATGGTGTAATCAGCTGTTGGCAGGATTAAGAGAAGCCGATTTTGCTTTGGAGCGGAGGAAAATTTTTAGCAGTGCTATGGCGATTAATGTCACTAGTGTGTATGACGACGAAATAAGATCCGCGACTTTTTAAACCCTTTGGAGGAAATAAAACAAATGAATCAAATCAAGTAAATTCGTGGTTCTGTTTAGCAGATATTTTCGGGGTGGATGCGGCCCGCGGGCCGCCAGTTGTACAACACTTTCATGGCACTTCTTGTATTTTTTTGTAGATACTCCAAAACTGCGAAGATGCTTCTCTGATAAATTTTCCAAGCCAGTTAATTTGTCAAGAAATATAATCTTATCTGAGACAAGCTGTCATTTCTGTCCGACTCTAAAATTACATAATTCTAGGTTCCAGAGGGGTATGCTGCGTATCTGTTTTAAGGGACGATATAACCCCCCACCCCCACCCCTAGGCTGCGCCGTCCATGTTTGTTATCGGTCTTCAAAATGAGTTTCAGGACGTCGCCCCAGACCGCGCTGGCTCGAGTATGTTCCCGGTGACCGATCTACGTTGTTTTATAACTTTTGTTGATAAAATCAGGTGCATTGCGAGATAACCGAGCCCAAACCCAAAAAAATGGGTAAAGTAGTGCTTTTAAAACCTTCTTTTTAAATACGTTCCAATTCCTCTTTCCCCACCTGACAAATTTCGTGCCGGGAAACAATATTTTGTTTCACAGAAAGCGCAGGTTTTAAACCATGGCCCTTATAGTGGCTTCGTGTTCGTTGTCGAATTTTGGTTTTGTTTCTTGTCAGTAGTAGAAGCAAATTGTGACTTTTTCATTATTGCTGTTATTTTATGCAAGTTTTTTCCCCCTCATAATTCTAAGTATTAAAAAGAATTTACCCAAGTAATCACATATTATTGAATGTACAAATTGAATTTGCAAATTTTTGGGTATTACAGTTTTTTTGGTTTGATATTTTACGTGATTATGATTTAATTCTGAATGGTTTAAATTTTAGAACACTTCCAGACGACGATGAGTTATTCTTATTAATCTTTTCAAGGGCATAATAAATTGAGGTTTTATATGCCTATAAGGAAAATAAAAGGGTTTTCTACTTTTAGCGTGAGCAGTGGCCAAGACAGTTCTTCAGCTACTTGCGTCATTTCTGCAAATGACATGCAGATTTTTTCGATAATTTCAGCAAGAAAATCTCTTTTACGGACACTTTCTGTGTGCGAGAGACTTTTGGATTGATTGTGTTTAGTTTTGTTTACGTTAATAAAGTAATTTAAATATTTTTGCACCATGGCACAGGAAAACTACAAGGGCCCAAACGTCAGGACAGTCCATTTGAAATTAAAGAAATGATGTGTAATGTCTTCCTCAAGATTTATCCTGTTCGCAGGAA